GTTTCTGACAGCTGGCCCAGCTACAAGCCTGGGAGCAGGGAATCCCCGTCACTGCCCATTGACAGCCTCAGGGAGTGACTGGAAGTCTGAGAAAGAGTTTGTCTGATCCTAAACAATTCAGGTGGCCAGCAGGATGGCAGCCGGGTCACTTCTCTGTTCCCTTGGTGCCCCGCTCAGCCGGCATGGCCGTGGTGGTTTGGGGGTGTAGCTGCTCACAGAGCCCCGCCACCCGGGAGGCTGTCTGGAGGCCTTGGAGGATTTCCTTTCTGCCCCGCAGCCTTCCCTCCTGCCTGCCATGCATGCCTCCTCTCCTCCTTGTCTCCTTACCTTAACTGCCTGTTTATTTCACAAGGAATAAATGCTTATTGCTCAAAAAAGAAAAAAAAAAAACAATGCCTATAGGTAACGAGGAAAAAAATAGCCCCAAAATTGTGACTGGTAACATTCTGTGGTATTTCCTCCCATTGTTCCTTCTAGACACGTGGGTACACACACCCTATATATTTTCAAAAATGAGATCATACTGGACCTGTGGTTTGGTAGTTGGCGTTTCGCATTTAAAGTAGACCATGGAGTTTAGTCTGATAGGCATCAAAAAATAAAATAGATGGCTAGTGATACATGGTTAACTGAGTGGAGTAAGATGTTAATATGTAGCATCCAGGAGCTGAGTATATGGGTCTTAAATGTATTGTCTTTTCCACTTCTCTGAAAGGCTGCATGTGCACGTTTTCATAAAAGAAACTTTGGAGGGAAATGCAGTGAGGGATGAGAAGACAGAAATGACACAAGTGGTAACAGAGCTGTATAGAGAGAGTGGACGTCCTGCTGTGTCATTAATATAGATGCATGTCCTACATCTGAACGGCAGCACAGATTGTGTCATATGCATGTATTGTCATTTAGTGTGTCCCTCATTGGGTGGATATTTAGCTTACCTATGTGTGGGTGTGAGTGTGGGGGGGTGTGCATGTTTTAATCAGCTGATGAGCTAGGTGGCTATTTTTTTACCCCTCCCTCCCCCACCTTCCATCTCCCTGTGTTTTCACAGGCCTGGAGCCCTGTGTGTGAATTTAGGTAGCCATTCCTATACATCTGGAGACAAAGCACCTACTGAAATTCCTACTTTGACTTGTTACTCTTACTAAGTGTGTGGACAGGTGGTGCATTAATTCTCCAGTCGGTTTGCCTATATTAAGCAGAAAAATATTTTTAATTAGGCAAACATATTCAACCCAAAATGTGTTTGTTTTTCCATTTCTGTTTTTAGAAAAAAATGCATATGCTGTGAGTCCATTTTAGTCGTGCCCAGGCTGAAGGTGGAAGAGAGGTGGGGTGGTGTACGGTGGTCTTTATAAGAAGGGAAACAAGGAGCCGAGTCTCACTGGGGGTCGCAGCCCCTGTGTGGAGGCCCCTTTTTTCTCCCTGTGACGTCACGTTGAAGTGTGCAGAACGATGCGTCCCTCCTGGGAACACTGACTTCCTGGTCACTGGACTCTCTTGTGCCTTTGGTGTTACAGCCCAGCCCTTGGTCTGACCCACTTTGGCTGGTGGGCCATGTTGTTTTTAGCTCCTTTGCGGAGTCACAGCATTGATGCATGGCAGAAAACACTGTTAGGGCCCCTTCGATCAGAGTATGAAGTACAAGGGGCATTTCAACCCTGTGAACCTGGCCTTCACCTGCCTCTGAATCTCATGATGTTTTTTGCAGAAGGGCACTTAGGAGATAGCTATTTGAAGCTCTTGTATTTGAGGGCATTTGAGATTCAGAGACATTAAATGACCTGCCAGGGTGCCCAGGTACAAGGACCAAGTCTAGATACCTCCCGATCCTGTAGGCCATGCTGCTTGCTCCTTTTGGTGAGGGTCCCAAAGATTCCGAGTAGATTTCCAAATGAGAAAAAGAACCGTTTATCTGGAATTCCCAGGATGGTTCAAAGACTGTAGGAGGAGAGATGGGCAAGAGGCTGATGGATCAGTTTAGAAGCACTTGTATTTTCTATAATAAGCAGAATATTTATTATCATTTTTGAGAATTCGGGTCTCTGTATACCAGTGACAGTGCTGGGCATGCTGACGCATGCTGTCTCAGCTCTCAGTCAGTGAGATGGATGTGGTGATCTGCACCCCCTTCAGATTATCCGTGAGAAATTGAAGCTCAGAATGACTGAGTGGTTTGCCCAGGATCACAGCTGTACCTGGCAGAGACAGAATTGGAACTGAGGTTCCCTTTACTCAAAAGCTGGTCCTCTTGACCTGCCACACCGGAGGACGGCCTTAATGATGCTACATTTGAGAGCTCATTCTGTTAAGAGACTTTGCCTGCCACCTGCCAGCTGTAAGTGGTCAGAAAATATGGTAAAATGGGCATTCAACCTGTAATTCCAAGAAAGGTTTGTCTCTTTTGGAGGGGAGACCTAGAGGAGATACATAAAATTAGAATAAGTGGAGCAAGGGGTTGCAAATTTGTGTAGTGTTGGGTCAAAATGTATATCTGTAAATTTAAGAATGATTTTAACATCATGCGATACTGCTCAGACAATGGATCGATTCTATCACGTCTTCACACACATGGAGCAATGGAGCTCCTGAAACCAACCCTAACAACCCCACATGTCTTGGGGTAAAGGCCCCCCTGTTCGTCCTGTCTGCTGCACACGCAGAGCCACATGTGCTAAGGGTCAGCCATACCTCCAGGAGTGTTTCCACATCAGCGGTAGGTGAGAAAATGGGCAAATAACCTTTCTTCAGAAAAGCTGTATCAAGAATGTTTATTCTGGGGAAAAAGATACTGCTTTTTTTTTATGCAAAGGACAAAAGTATAATGTGTATTTCAACTTCAAAAAGGTAAGGTGTCAAGGGACAAACGCCTCTGAGTGGAAGTCCTGATTTTTCCATGATATGTTCCTCGAAGACACCAGAAGCACAAAAGTCTACATTTGGGGAATTTTTTACAAAATGTATTACAGCACTGGTTTGACATTTTGTCATCATTCCTTTGGGAGGATGCATGAAACATTACTTAGATGTGTGTGGGCAATTTGAAAAACACATAAATACATATTTATGTACACAACCACAAGGACACACCTCTTGGTGAATGAGGAAAAGCAGAGCCTCTTTTGAGTAAAGTAGTGTCAGGAAATAGAAGCTATAAGTGGACGCACACCATCATTTCTTAGGACAGAGAATTTGACACATAAAAATAATCCATCTGAAGTTTATGAATGCTGTAACTGTCTCACACATGGAAAGAACATATCACCTTTTTTTTGTAATTGTAGACAATTAAGTAGGTAAAAAGTATCAATCGATCTAATAATATCTCAGAATCTCCTTTCTAGTCTCTTCATTATTTGCTCTTTTGAAATGAAAAATAATAGGAAAATTAGCAAGCATTATTTTACTATACCAGGTGATGTGTTCAAGTCCCTTATTGTATCCTCCTTATAACTCAGAGTGGTAAGGCCTGTTATTGGCCATATTTTTATAGCTTTGGGAGCTAAGGCTCAGAGAGGTGTATTTACTTGCTGGAGCCACACAGCTTTTAAGCAGGGTCACTGAGACATGAACCCAAGCAGTCTGACCCCAGATTTAAAACACCTAACTCCTGGGATGTATAGCTTCTACTTGAGGATTTTTGTTTTAATTTATCTCACTGTTCACATCAGAATAGCCTGAGATCCCTTTTTTTTTTAAGTAAGCCACCTATTCAACTCAATTCATTCATAGGTGAGCCTTAGTGTAATAGTACTGCTATAAATAGATTAACCTGCTTCTTGCCTAGAAGCTGCTGAAGAGTACCTAAAAGATGTATTGGCTCACTCATTCATTCATTTGCTTATTCATTTAGTCAGTATTCCAGTGCCAGTTACATTTCATACCCATTGGGCATACAGCAGTGGCCAAACCTCTACTTGATCTCATGATGCTTACATCCTAGTAGGGAAGATAGAAATCAAATAAATACATGATGTTCCTCATGGCTGTAAGTGGCAAAGAGAAAATAAATCCAGGTAAGGAAATGGAGGATATGAGAGAGGTGTGCTATTTTTACCAAGGAACATTAAGGAAGAATAGGACAGTGAGAGCTGAGGTGGGACATGAGGATATCTGGGGGAAGGTGCTCCTGAAGGAGAACAGCAAGTGCCAAGGCCCTGTGGTGAGAGCCTGCTCATTAACAAAAAGCCTATCATTCATATTAATCTGCACTTACGTGTTCCTTCCTGATTGGATGTATCCATGTCTATCTGTATGAAATGATGAGGTGCCAAGTAACCTCAACCTGGCACTTTCATCGCAAAGATTCTGTAAACGTGTATTTCTTTAGTGCTTCTGCCTCTAAGATACACCCTTTTCTAGTCAACCAAGTGATTTATTTTTAGTGGACTCTAATCATATGCTAGGGATTGGAAACTATGCTCTTTATGCTGTACTGTGCAGTGGTTATGATAGAAGAGAACCCAGTGTCCCTGACTCTGGTTACCCATTTAGAATAAATAAAAAGGATTGCCTGTATGATCTTAAAAGGGTAACAACTTCTTTATGGCAGAGGAAAACATCCTTGAACTGTTTTAATCTCTCATCTGAAAGATTTCACATTAGCCAATAAAATATCAGATGCTTTATTCTTAAATATTGCTTGGTAACACCATTGCAAACTGGGGATATCCATCCATTGGGAATTTTATTTTCTGGAAGAAAGTATCTTCTGAAGTTCACAACTTCCAGCTGGACATTCGTAGCAAAATACATATTTAAAGCCCTTGTGCGTGTGAACATGGTAGCAGCTCTGTGAAAACCTGATTAGCTGGTTTCCAACTTGCTGGGTTATTTTTTTTCTAAGTTTTTCCAAACCATTCTTTCTAGTTAAGCAAGAGTAGAAAGCCATCAGAAACCCACTCATAAGGTTTCATTTCTGATATCATTCAATGTGGAATAAACAATTAGACTGATTTCGGTATGACTTATCCTCTAAATATTTCCTTGATGTTTGGCAGCCCTATGCAGAAATTTCTACCTGTTGCAAATTGAACGTCTTCACATCGCAAATCCCACTGAAGCACGGCGTTGATAACGGGCGTTGTCATACTCAGCTCCCGCGCATGCTGCTGCGAGCCTCCAGGGTAACGTTTAACGTGGTCGGTGGGGAAGAGACTTGTTGGTGGCAGTGGGGCTCCCTTCTTGAGTGCTCCCTCTCCTGACAAGGAATATAGGGTAGTGATCAATCAGAGGGTCTCAGAGGAGGTGTCAAACCACTGGGTAACTTGGGCTGCACAGAGGCTGCGGGGAAGCAGGCACAAAACTCCTGAGCTGTAGAGAGACAGATAATTACTGCATGAATACCCAGATGATGGGAAACTTATTCCTTACAGGTTAAACATTCCTGAAAAATAGGAAATTAACAGGAAATGCTTAACTGGAGGTCATTTTGGTCCCTGTATATGTGCTGTTTATGACCTGCTAGCAGGAGCATTTCATGGCATCATAGACATGGCCAGAAAGCGAGAAGGTGTGTGTGTGTGTGTGTGTGTGTGTGTGTGTGTGTGTGTGTAGGTACATGTGTATATGTGTGTACACATCTACAGTTCTTCTGTATCTCACAACTCTGGTACCACACGTGGCCTTTGGGGACAGAGTGTTGTGTGTTGTTTAGTCTTGAAACTTCTTTTAAAGATAGGATGTCATTAACAATCTTCAGGCCTTATGTTTACTCAGACTTAAGAAACACAGGCTAGTCTTTTTCTATTTTGAGGAGTAATAAATTGAAAAGATAATTACATAATATGGCACATAGTGTAACTCTGGCTTGAGCCATATGTGTTTAAATTTAGAGAAACATGCGTGTTGACAGGTTATGAAAGGATGAAACTATTTTGGTCTTTTAGGGATTAGAAGATTTAAAGAAAAAAAGTGTCCCTTATTCTCCCCCGGCCCCCTTCAAAAAAACCCACGAAAAACAAAAAACCAAAAATCCAGTATACAAATTCAGTGAGAAACGTCTCGCTGAAAGCAGTTTGTTTTCATGGTGGCCCCTGGCAGAGAAAATTCAAGTTAGAAGGCACATTCTCTCCAAGCTCCTGTAGAGTCAGGTGTGGGCTTCTGTGCGCCGTGGGGAATGGATGGCGTGGAGCTCCCAGTCAGGGGCAGAGTGGGGCCGCTACGTTGAGAAGCAGGGAGCAGAAATTTCTCACAAGCATCTTGTTAGTAAAAACAGCAGTTATCTCTTAACTTAGTGAACGTGATAGCCTATCTGATACAAAAAAAAGAGAAATGCGGGAAGCAATGCAAAGTCCTTCCTTTCCTTCCTTCTACAACATTTATTGAGGACGTTTTTTGCTCCAAACACAGTGTACTTGGTACCTAAGCTGCAGAGTCAACGAAATACTCGCCAGTAGAGTCTTAAGGCAGCAGGAAGCCGGGCGGGGACTGGTTCTGAGACCCACTTTCAGATCAACAAAAGAACCTGCTACTTTGCCCATGATCTCGGCCTGGAGCAGGACTGTCAGGTGTTGGTAGGCAGAATAAAACCCCCTCGGATGTCTGTGTCCTGATTTACAGGGCAGAGTGGAATGACCTTTGCAGGTGTGATGAACGCTGCTAATCACCTGGCCTGGAATGTGGGGAGATTCAGGGGCCCGGGAGTCACAGGGTCCTTAAAAGTAGCCGAGATAGACTGAAGAAGTAGACTGAAGAGCTGACACTGAGAGATGGACTCCCCAATGTTGCTGGCTTTCAGAATAGGGGAAGGGGCCACCTGACGAGGAATGTGGGTGGCCTCTAGAAGCTGGGAAAGTCGCGCCATGACACAGATTCTGTCGTAGAGCTTGGAGAAAGAACAGAGCCCTCCCACACCTTGATTTTAGCCCAGTGACACCCATTTGGAACTTTGGCCTCCAGAGCCATAAGGCAATAAATGTGTACATTGTAAGCCACTGAGTTTGTGGTCATTTGTTATAGCAGAAGAGGTAACGATCAGAGAAGGACCACCTTCCTGGTGTCGTACAGTGACTAGAACAGTTCTCAAACATGGCTTCACAGTAGTGTCACCCGGAAAGCTTTAAAAATGCTGATGCCTGGGTCCTGGACCCCAGAAACTCCCAATTTCATTGGCCTGGAGGGTGGCCTGGTCACTGGAATTTTCCAGATTCTGCACGTGACTCAGATGTGCAGCTAGGTCAGTGGCACACCAGTGTGGGGTACAAGCTTTGGCCTCCGATAAACCTGGCTTCCTATTCAGAAATCTGCCTTCAGCCACTGTGAGCAGGTTATTCTCTTGGCTTCAGTGTGCCACCTGTGACATGGGGACACTGCAAACCCCACCTTGGGTGTATGACCCTGAAATGTGAAGGGGCACACACCTCTCCAGGGGTCATTGCTCAGTGATTGGCAGCTGCTGCTTGGACTGTTAAAACAATGCCTCGGATGCCCAGAGCTAACTCTGTTTTGAGGTCATAGTACCTGGAGAGCCTGGCTGAGTTACATACCTTATATTCACAACTGCTTTCTGAGATGGCTTCAGTCACTTTACCCCTTCCGTGGAGGGGAGGCAGGAACAGAAAAGTTAACCCATCCACAGTGGCACAGATACTAAGTCTGAGGGCCTGGACTTGAACCTTGGTCCCAGTCTGAGCTCGGGGCCGTGCCTGCTCGCTCCTGGGGAGACCTCAGTGTGGGGCCAGCAAGGGTGGTGGGTAGGAAATGTGGAAGCCGTGGCTTCGTGCTCTTGGGACCCCTCCAGAGGCATTGCACAACCCATTCCCAGTGTCACTCCTCGGGCTGGGGGTGGCCTTTTGTACCGGATCCTGTCTCCGCACGATAAACCATGTTGCCCTGTCGCTTGCCGTCAAGGAAAACGAGGTTGAAAGCCACGGGAATGATGATTCTTAACAGTGATAGGCTGTTTGCCTCTGTCTGCCGTTTAATCTAATCTCAGGTTCAGTTGATACTATTGATTAGGTTCTTTTCAAAACCGTATGCAGCATATGGGGCTTCTCGGTGTGAGGTGAAATGTTATTCTTCTCCTGTGTGAGTTGAGAAGAAAAGGTGAAAGTATACAATTAATTTGCCTGCACTTTCCCGCAAATTGTATGCTGGATTTCTGTGAAATGCCATATGGAACAATATTCCAGGCAAATTATTGTTATTTATCGTGACTTTTGCCTGCATATTTAAAGTCAACAGTTACGCTTCCTTTCTGTACTTAATGGCCTTTGTACAACATTTTTAGAAACCTGGGCAGGTGTCACTAAGAAAACCTGCACTTTGACCCTGTGATTCTTGGGAAACAAGTTAACAGTATCAGGAGTAACAGCCAAGTGCCGTTTCCAAAAGGAATAACCCACTCAGGGCAACCTCCCTGGTCCCTTTCTTTAAGATAATTAATTATCTCTGGGCCATTGCCCTAAGTCACATTTGTTTTAGAGAATGTGAACATCTTTTGTCATCCTTGGTTGTCAGTATTACTGAAAGCAACAAAATACATGGAATAGTGAAGTTGACCTTCTTAAATTCTCTTTACTTCACCTGGCATCCCTTTGCATGGGGCAGGTTGTCTCTGGAACTCTGTTGTTCCTTGGGTCCTTCAGGAAGGCACCTCTCCTCCAGGTGGGGCGTGTGTGGATCACTGAAGTAATCTTCACCCACATTTGGAAGTGATGGCCTTGTGCTGGCTTTCCTTGCATCATCACCATTTAGCAGCCACCGACCTGCAGGTTTTTGGGGGTGAGCCCCATATTCTTCTGGGAAGCTGCCTCCAGTGTGGGGCTCCCAGGTGAGCTTTTTGTTCTCTCAGGGGCTTTGATACCTCACCCCAAATGGAACAGAAAAGGAGTAGCTTTTGGTTAGCCACGTGTGAATGTGCCAGGGTTTTGTGAATTTGGAAAGGTCCTACTTCACTATGTGCATTTTAAAAATAAGTTGAGTTATGTCATTTCCACCAAAAAAAAGGGGGAGGAGAAGGGGGAACCCACAGAAAATCAGCAAACCTCCCAAATCAGACTTTTGAGAAACAAATCTGGCTTTGCTTATAAAAGCTCTTATCTTATGAAGAGAGTATGCTTGGCCAAGTGTATCTGAAAAGAAAACTTGATCGATTTTCAAACGATTTTGAGAATTAAATTGACAGGGGTTCTGGAGGAATAGCCCAAGATACCTCAAAGTTAAAGGAGGGTAGAAAGATGAGCCTCCATCTGGAGTGACATTTGTTAACCATTTCAGCCTCTTTGCTTGTCAGTGCATTTAGAAGTAGTAAAACATTTCTGCTATAGCCAGGATCCACTTTAACCTTTCCTCTTCCCATTCCTCAGAAGCACATTCCATTAGGCATCTGGGGTACCTCACTCCATTCCATTTTTATATATTTACTTACCCAGGTAGCATTTTCTTAGAGTATTATTTCATATACAAGTTTAGCATCAAACTGTATTGTATCCTATTTATGCTTTTTTATTCACCCTTGATTTTGAGAACGATGTGGTGTTAGTATGTGTAGATCCAGCTTACCTTGCTAAAAATCTATACCGTGTTCTGTCATGTGACAGTGAATTGGGTGTATTCATTCCAATGGCAATGAATATTGCCACACTAGTATTTCTGGCACACACTAGTATTTCTTTAGAGTAAATCCGCAGCAGCAGAATTACTAGGACAGTTAATGGCACGTACTGAGATGTCATGGTCCCAGTTCGGAGCCTGCCGCCACCCCAAGTTAAGGAAGATGCTAATGTGTTAGCCCTTCTGTCAAGGGGTCTATAGTCTGGGAGGACATGGAGGAAGGTAGCTCGTTCTGCAGAACTACGTGTTTCTGTTGGACCAAACCGGTGCCCTCAAGAGGAGGTAATGGTCTGCTGGCGACTCACGTGCTTTATAACGGTTGGTTCAGTCTGTGTGTGTCCATCATTTTACCTGTTTGAAGAGAGGTCTCCCCCTACACCGACTGAAGAGCAGGAGCCCGTCTTCCGGTGCTGGTGGAAACTTGGTTTATAGAAGGAAGGCATCAGCCAATTCATCCAGCGAGAGAGCAGAGAGCTTTTAGAGATGCCCAGTGAAAGTTGCTCTGCACCCAGGCCTATTTTTGAGCTTTCTCAGCCATCACTTCCAAGAGGCTAGCAGAACCCCAGAGAGGAATGTTCAAAGCTACGGCACACGAAAATAGAATAAAAGAAAAGAAAATCACAAGAATAAAAGGGAGGAAGAATTTCTGAGGGAATGAAGCTTTCCGCTGCTTCCGCTCTTTCTGAGGTGTGATATGTAGATCTGTCCCCTGCTTAGGCCTGACAGCTTGTGGGGACGAGATGAATTTTTCAGTCAGTTTGAGAAATGCCATCCACACCAACTGATACCCTCCCCTGGCAGCCGCCTCACTCTCTATCTTTTATCATTCCTCTTGATCCATCATCTAGAGAATGCTAGAAGGCATGAGAATGTAAGTTCCAAATAGGAATTGGTGCCTGTTTTCTATCTTGGTTTATTTTCAAAAACCTTTTTGAACTTTTGAACTGCTGGTACCCACAGGGCAATGTGCAGGGGAATTGGTAAATAAAGATAATGCTGATGTGAGTACAATTTCTTTCATATGTAACTAGAGAAGCATGTGAGTTCCAGATAAGCTTTTCTTAGAAAAAATAAAATTCTAAATGTCAAAGTGTTTTGAGTGGAGGTAGGGAGGGCTCCAGTACTAAAAGATATCCTTAGACCTTAGACGGATTAAGAGAAATCAAGCTGATAGCATGCAGGTAAATTTGGCTGAAGTCTCCTCCATTTTCATTGAATTTAGACTTTCCTACCCCTTATGTGTTCTCTTAAGGCCTCTGTTTGTTATTGTAATTCTTTTTGTTTTTGTCTATGATGGTCAATTTCTAATTCCTCCCCCAGTGTATGGAAAAATGGATGTGTCTGCATCTTACACAATGTGTGTTGTGGGTGTGGGAGTTTGTTCTTTTCTTAAAAAACTTAGGGAAAAAATTCTGCTTCTGTTACTTTTCAAACATCTTTTGAAAATCTGAGGTTTTCTTTTCAGATAAAAGTGAACTTGAAGCAATAGTTATCCATAAATTAATGAGACAGAAGAGACCTGTGCTATATAAACACCCAGTCCAATTAAGTGCCTGTTTTTTACACTGTTGATTAAAATTTGGAAATAAATGGCTTCCTTGAATTCCTGCCCATTGTGGGTTGAGTCAGCCAGCTGATGATATCAGGATTTACCTGAATATTGGAGACATAAGTGTAATATTTCACTTGCTTGCCAAAAATTTTTTTTAAAACATGAGTTTGGCCTCAGAGCCTACCAGGAAAACATACACAGCTATGTGCAAGGTGAAAACAAAAACCTTACCCAAAAAATGTAATGTAATTAAATTAGATTAATTGGATTTGGCATTGATGTTTCCGACTTCAACCTACTGTCCCTGAGTCTCCATCTTGCTAATCTTTGGATTTGCAGGTCGATATGAAACATGGTGGGCATTTACAAGGCAGTTAATTAGGAGATAGTTGTTGAATTAACAGAAATTTTTAAATGACTTGATGCAAAGCTCATGTAGGGACTTCACAGTAAAAGGAAGGTTTGTAAGAAGTGTGGAGGTGGAGGTGGCTGACTGAAGTTAGATATAAAGTGCTTTTGCTCTTGCTAGAGTTTGACCACATTGCCTTCTGATGGATTTTGCTTACATTTCTTAGGTACAGTTGACCCTTAAACAACAGCAGGTTTGATCTGTGTCAGTCTACTTACACATGGATTTTTTTCTTTAGTAAATATATTGTAAATTTTTTTGGGAGATGGGTGACAATTTGAAAAGCATTTCCTTTTCTCTGGGTTACTTTATTGTAAGAAGACAGTATGCAATGCCTACAACATACAAAATGGGTGTCAATCAAATGTTTATGTCATCAGTGAGGCTTCTAGTCAGGAATATGCTATTAGCAGTTAAGTTCTGGGGGAGTCAAAAGTTAAACATGGATTTCCAACTGCAAGAGGGTTGGTACCACTATCCCAACTCCTGGGCCGGTGTTGTTCAAGGGTCAAGGTGTATATGCATTTCAAAGGTAGGAATGTAGTAAGAGAGGGGACATTGCCTTATGTACCGTCTCAGCAGGCTGTAGGTTATTGAAGGTTTTGCTCCCACCCCCCACCCGCTGCCTTCTTCCTGTCATGTGTTAGTCCTTCAATCTGGATGGATGTTAGAGCTGTGGTCTGCACAGAATTGGGTGTTTGATTTGGACTGATTTTGGGGGAATTGCATAGGGTTTTAGAACCACAGGAGCACCCAAAGAGTTACTTCTTTTGAAACCTGCTGGAATTTGTTATTCCTAAACCACATGATAGGAAGTGGTAGGATATAGAATAAATGACATATGTTCTTTAATGTCTATTTTGTAGGGTTTTTTTCCTTCACTACTTGGGGTCCTCAGAAAATGTATCATATTGTGAGTTGTTTGACTCTTGTAGGTGAGTGTGTGTGTGTGTGTGTGTGTGTGTGTACACACCTATGCACATGTACATACATCTATGTATATACCAAAATGTATACTTATGGGTGTATGTGCACACCTGCATGCATGTACAGTGGTTAGAATTTCTGAACCCAAATACCTTAAGCTTCTTTCCTAACACAAAAAAAGTCATTTCTGTAAAAAGTTGAAAAATAAATATTATAATCAGCGAGGCATCACAAATAACTTTTATGTCTAAATCAAGCTATTAAATGCTTTTTTATTTTTAAGTAGATAGGGAATAAAATAGCTGCATAGTTCATAAAGTGGTATGCCATTACTGCCTGCTGTGCCCAAGAATTATGCCAGCTTTTTACACTCATGAAGTAAAAGCCGATTAGAACTGTGATCAATGTATTATCCTATATTTCTTATTGTGCATTATATTTCCTTTTTGAGCACCTTTGTAGACTAAATGGCTACTAATGACATAATTACAATTGTTTGTCACCACCATAATGCGTGATTTCCTATCTCATCATAAAGATGTAAGTTAGATAAAGGAGGAGTTTTGGCAGGAAGACAAAGTGCAGTGATTTATTAAAGGCCAGATGTGGTTGTTAAAAGCTTTTCTGCAGAAGGCTCGATTGAGTGATGTGAACTAGGAACGAAATCGCTCTGTACACCCAGACCGAGGTTCTCGGTGTGAGGGACACAGTTGCCCATGGAAGCTTGACAAACGAGCCACATGTTTTATGTTTTATTGTTGTGTACAAATTTTATGTTGGAATTTAAACAGGGTGAGAAGGGTTCACATCATCTTCTACCAACAGAGTAGGTGTTTAGAGGAAACTAATGAGACTAAAGTGCTGGCTATATTTTCAATTTGCTCCATGGCTCATAGCAAGAACTGAAATATCTTACATTTCTGTCAAGTTTCAAAGAGGGAAAATCCCAGCCCTGTTAAGAAAGAGAGAGAGAGAGAGAGAGGTGAATATGAGAATTCAAAGAAATCAGAAGCAAGTGGAGACAAGCTATGACTTAAGCACTGTTGACATACATATTGCACACACAGGCTTGACATATATACAATCAGATTAGATAGATGCTTCTAAGGAAGAGGCGCAATTTCTGGTTTTAGTAGTATTTGCACACAAAAAGCTCTGTTAAAATAATGTTAAGACCCTGGAGTGATAGAAGCTCTGAGTGGTTCGAAGAGTGTTTCCGGGCTTCTGGAGGGGGAGAGAAAAACAAAAAGGAAGAAAATGGTTCTATCTTGAAGCCCTTCTCTGGTTGGAAAGCAGTGATGGCTTTCTCTTTTCCTCTTTCCTTCTCTCCTTCTGTCCTCTCCCTCCCCTCTCTTTCCTTCTGTCTCCTTCCTTCACTCCCCTGTAAACTTCTGCATGGAGCAGAGTTACACAGTAGGAAGGTGTCTTACGTAGATTAACTCTGTGAAGCCATAGAGGGCTTTTGCGGACTGTTCATAATACCACAAGCTGCCCTGTTGTCTCAATGGCAAATGCAAGGCCCTCCTTGTTTTATCTCATGGAACTACCGACTTGCCAACTCTTAGGGGTTTACCAGACTTTGTGATTTCATGTGTATTTGTAATACTCCTTAATGTTTATCCCCATGTCCAGTCTGTAAGTTCCACAGGGGGCAGGAATTGTGTCCCTAGGCCTGTCACATTACCTGGCACACAGTGTCCCTTCGGGAAGTATTTGTAGAATGAAAGAAAGAACCACCACACGGACAGTAGCCGACTCTCAGGATGTGACTTGGAGAACACTAGCAAGCCATCCAGATGAAACATTCCCAAGCTGTAAATACCTGCCCACAGAATGAATGCATCGTCAGTTGAGATGGCTGTGTTGCCATTCCCCTAATTTAAAGCTCAGAGCCTTAGAATCCAGTTGCATCCTGTCCTGTCCAAATGGATTTTTGCCTCTCAGGAACTTATCCTGCAGTTCCAGGGGCTGCCACTTGATGGCTCGTACAGAATCCTTAAGACAATTCAAAGGAAAAAGAAAAATACACATGCTTTCTCCACCCTTTGACTCTATTTCTTCCACTTAAAATATTTATGTTCTTGATGACTCATATACTGCACCTTAAATGAACAAAACTGAAATTCAGGGACTAAAGATTCAAAGAAATAAAACACTCAGAACCAGGGCTGCCTCTGTGGTCGCGAGACCTTCTCAGTCACACACAGCTCTGCGCTCACGAGGGCCCTGCCTTAGGCTTAATCCTCTGCACTCACCATTTTGAAATCCTTAATAATTTTGAGCAAGGGGGTCCCACATTCTCATTTTGCCCAGGCCCCACAAATTATGTAGCTGGTCCTGCCTGTAAGTATGATTCTTTCTGTCCTTGGGAACACATGTGACCCTCTCAGTTCCTGACTTCCCTTACCTGCCAGAATTTGTTACTTGAAGCTGTATGGCCTCAGGCCTGACCTTACCTGACCACGGCTCCTGCAGGCTTTACTGAGCGCTCGGTGGGAAGCCGGTCCCCGCAGGACATAAGCTTATGGGACAAGAACTTTGTCTTTGACTCAAGACTTCTGGGTTCGAATCCTTGCTCTGCAGTGGGTTAAGTTACTTAAGGCGGTGCCGAGAGTGTGCCTGCCTCCTCAGCTTGAAGAAGAGATTTAAATAAGGTAGCGTGTAGAACAAGTTTTCGCAGGTGTCTGGCTCAGGTGAGCACGCCGGCCCTGGCAGGTACCGGTGCAGTCGCTAGGCACCCCAGCTGGGGCTGCACCGGATACTCGGATACTCGCTGAGCTGCCCGCTCTCCGTGGTCGTTGCTCCGCTGAAGCTGCAGGGGCCTCCTGTGCTTTGATGCTCTGAGGTGGCAGCCCTCACGGTCCACACAGCCTGGAACCAGAGTTCAAGGGGAGCTTCGACTCCGCTTGCTCCCTCCCTCCTCCTAGCCGCAGCTCCGCCCGCTCCCTCTCCTCTCTGCTTCCTCCTTCATGGGGAATGACTGATTCACATGGAAAGGATTCATATATAGACTGAGCATTTTGTAACCCATTTCTGTCTCCCGGTGGTTCAAAGAGGTCACTTCCTCCGTAATCATTAAAGGAACCAACCTCTCCTCTGCAGAGCACTGGAAGCACATGTTGATGCAGCCAAGTCCAAATCATAAATAGATCCCCCTCGCCCATTCATACAGGGAATTTGCACCACCTTGACCATATCAAAGGGACTTTCTTTCTTGGGGAGGGAGGATACATTGCTAGGGACTGATACGACATGGGATATGATCCATTCATTTATCTAACAAATATCCATTAAAGACTTTGTGTGCCAGGCAGTGTTGTCAGTACTGAGGGTCTTGCTGTTCACACTACCTCCAAGGACCTTGCTGTTGTGCGGCTGATACTCTAACAGGGATGAGCAGTATCAGAGAAAAGTGCTGTGCAGAAATGAAACAGGGATGGAGTAAGAGTGCCACTGGGCCACTTTAGACAAGGTAACAAGGGAAGGCTTCTCAGAGGTGGTGACACTGCAGCTGAGAGCTGCATAGCAAGAGGGAAGCAACCAGGAGAAGCTTGGAAAATAAGCATTCCAGACCTCACACAGCAGTGATCAGACCCTAAGGTGCCATTAGCTTAGTGGGTTTCAGTTACAGAAAGACCAGTGTGGCTGGAATGAGGTGAACAAGGCAGAAGAAATTAGTTGGGGCCTAATCTTGGATTCTGAAAGCCAGAGTCATGTGGCCTCTGGGCTTTATTGCTGTACGTACTGTTTTAAAATTAAAAGGGATCCAGGAATCCATTCAATCCCAAGTGAATAATTCAATCAATAAAGCAGTCTCCAGGTATTAACTAGGGGGGAAGTGGATGATTTTACCTGGATTGTCCACTTCGGCTCTCTAGTTCAGAGACCTAACACTGAAGGGAGCACTGGACTTAGAGCCCCAAGACAAGTCTCAACTCTACTAGGCCAAGATTTAGTTTCCCTGACAAGTCATTTCATCCACAGGATTGATAATGCCCTTGACACAAGGTTGGTATAATGATGAAATGACTTGGGGCTTGAGGCAACTCCTTGATAAATGCAAAATCATATACAAATATTAGGTAGCTTTGATTACTGATTATCCTTCCATTGATCACCTTATCTACTAAAAACACTTCATTTTCTTAATTATAAAAAATGCATTTTTAAATTCATTCAAGAGGTTTATATTACATATGGAGAAACCTAGCAGATAAATTTATGATGGATATAGTTACCTTATTTTTTAAATAGTTTTAAAATATTTTTAAATGGTTCCCAGGTAGATATACCTATTCTCAGAGATACTTGTTCGACCACCATTTTTAAGGGCTGGGACAAATGACCATCCTCTCTGGAATTCTGTCTCCTGGATTTCTTGTCCCTTAGCTGGACTGACTTTGAAATATGGGAAGGCTTAAAAACATGGATTTACTACTAGTTTTAAGGCCTTGTCTTTGAAAAGGACTCACAGGAGTTCTTAAAACACAAAAATCCCATACCTCCAAAAATAAGATCACCTTGGATTTGGGTTTGTGGATAGGAGCAGTTCACATGCTGTTCATTGGCAGCTGGTATTCTTGTGGAAATTTGTTCTATGCAGTGGACATTTTTTGATGCAGGGGTTGGCTTTTGTCTCTATCCGCTTCTCAGAATCGTTTGCTGTGCCCAGCAGGACATTCCCAGTGTCAAGGAATCAGATAGGATAGCAGATTCCATCGGTCCATTTCTCCAAGATGAGTTTCAGGAGCCATGCAAATGGCCCCAGGGAACTGCATTTTAAAATCTTACACTTCTCTGATTTCACAAACACCCCTGGGAAAGATTGTCTCAGATTACTGGAAGACTTCTTGGTTAAGTTTTTAAAAAAAAGACTTTTGCATTCTGCTTAGAAATCATTTTTGAGTTTTATTAGAACATTTACTAGCAATGGTGCTAATTATTTTAAATATGACCCTGGAAATGGGCTATGTCAGCTTGAAAAGACTATTTTTAACAGAATTTGGTTTTAAAGGCAGCTTTTATAGACATTATAGTAATACCATTGTTATCTAATTAGCATCCACTGTGCAAATGTACATGGTATTAGAGAGGCAAGTATACATAAAATTATAAATTGTGATATTTTATGAGTTTTTTTTATCATGAGTCTTATACAGTCATCATTACTTAACAGTGTGAAATGTGGCTTTAGACATTACATCATGTAAGGACCAGGAGACAAAAAAAAAAAACCCAAGGATCAATTTTTGATTATAATAAAGTTTTAGTATGAGGCATTTCTGAATATGTGTCAAGAATATGAGTCATGATTTTCACACCAAACCTGACCTATTGTGATTTTGTGATTATGTTTCGACTTCAAGGGGGTTTCAGTATTTAAATTCTCAACCTAATTCTAAGGTTTCAGAATGATTCACATTCAGATCTACTTTTATGTTTCATAATTAAATAAGAAAATATTGCTTATACCTACATTTTTACTATTCTTGGACATACTATAATTACTTCTTTAATTTCACCAATAAAATAGCCCATTTCTTCATTAGTAAATTATAATGCTATCACAGTACAAAAAAAATTAGTTTGAATGTGGCTTGCCATCTCAAATAGTCATTTCGGTTTGGAATTTTCTCACTTCTTTCATTAGTTCTTTTTGTAAAATGTGAAGATACTTTCTAGGTAAATTAATCCCTTCCAAGCGGTGAAATAACTTCCTTTTTGGAAAGAGTTATTACAGTCTTATTCTTTATAAGCTTAAATACCACTTATGTTAGAGTGAACAATACATGAAAAAATTACACTAGTTAAAAAAAGAATGATTACGACCTCCGCCAAGTACATTGCAATTATATGTTCGTGGAAAAGTGAGTTTTCTACTGGGAAAAGCATGATATAGATGCCCATGAAATTTCCAAAGTTTAAGTATTTTTGTAAATTAGGTTGTTCCTAGTTAAACAGGTGGCTTTAAAGGCTGGTTTCACTGTTGTTTTAATCATAGTTTAGTTACCATGGAGAAATATGCAAGTTAGCATTTATACACAGAAGTGAAATTTATGCTGCATAGATAATAGCCTAAATTTAGCTTGACTTAAGTTTACCACTTCCTTTTTTTTGACAAAAAAGAATAATAATATATCACATATATCCATTAACAAGTTAATTTCTTTAAATGCTACTGATATATTTTTAGAGAATTTCTTTTCTGAAGCATCCACGGACACTTCTGTCATTGTGATTTTTTCAAGGGCTGAGCATAATATAACGTATTACACTTGATTTGCTCTAATTATGTCGCCCTTCGGTTTAATAAAAGACTCTGCTAAGTTTGAAATCAGCCATGTGGTGGAAAAACTAATATTTGGACACAGTCGTTGGAGTTTTTAAAGGACTATTATTTTATACTGAAAAGCTTCAGAAAATGTCCGGTGCTGACAGGACCCATCTAATTTCAGAGCCCAGCAATCGTTTGGATGACCATTTGCATATATTTTCTAAGAGAAATTCTGAGACAGGTCTTCAGAATGTACTGTTTCGATCTTAATACTCTCTAGGCAAGGCAATAATTTTTCCCCCGCAACGGAGAGGTTCTTTGGCGTGGAATCCAGCACCCGGGAGCTGCCTTCCCTGCCATTCACTTCAGCCAGTCCCTCGGAGGGGAGGCTAAGTTTTCAAGGACGAATGTAGTAAAAGTGTCCTGATCCAACAGGAGGTCCCCCAGCACAGAGAGAGAGCAGCAGATCCCTTTCAACACCAGCTGTTCTCACAGATATAGATTGCTGCAGTGAAATTGTCTTAATATAATTCAGGAAGCTCTAGAGAATTCTCCAGAACAACTGTGCCAGCAAGGAAAATGTTGAATTTTTCATCAGCTGCCCAATGCTGAGAGTTAGTGGGCAACCCGTTCATTCATGACCAGATGTTCAGCACGGTGACGCTCTGCAGTTAACTTGAACCTTGTGGCCTGTTCACCACTGGCTACAAGGACATTGGCAGCAACCTGGCTTTGGAGAATTGAGGCCCGCACAAGCAAAAGACTGAAGTGTGTGTCTGTGGCTCCCTGGTTTTCACCAGCGACCCATCAAGGTAGGGAGGGATGAGAGATGAGAACAACATCCCATCAATCATTTTGGAGGGAAGGAGAATTTGTTACAGGATTGTGTCTTGGGGGAACAATTGGCAAATTCTTACACTCCTTTTTATTGTGGAAGAAAAGGCAGTCTTTGTTTAGCCGGACAGATTTTTCCAACCTGTGTCTAAACCATCAAACTTTCTGTGGTGGGGGCAGTAGGCATGGGTGGTTAAAACAGAAAGAAAAAGGTTTCTAATTTTAAACTAGAGTAAGTCAATAAAGTTCCCTCTTATACTGAAACCTTACTACGTTCAGTCTGGAATTGGAAATATATGATGTTTTTCCCCGAGGTAAACTTTATTACTATGGATGGAGAATATTTAGCTCTTCCATGCTTACAGATTCACCATGTCCTTCATATATGTGCTTGGAGCCCATGACATTTTTGTGGCCTGTGTTTAGTGTTTGGGGAAAGGGAGACCTAGATGGAATAGGGGTTTTTGAAGAAACGATATGATTTTCCACCTTGAAAAGGCTTCTTCCTCAGAAAGATGAATTGTACTTGATTCTGGAAGTGCAGACGCCAGGCACAGGGAGGCAGGATTTCATAACAGAGCCTGTCTCAGATGGAGGAGGGCTCTCTTTTTCCCCACCTCCAAGGCACTGCACAACAATGTTTTGAAACATGAAATTGACCATTCCAACCACCTGCACAATAATGTTAACTATTATTTCAATGCAGTATGAAGCAAAGGAAAGAAGGAAGTCTCACTTATGTGACCGTTTTTTAATGTGGGGCTCACACAGTGCCATCCCAACCGGAAGTTGGCCTTTGTTTACTGGAACCTAGAACGGAAAGGAATCACAGAATAAACCTTTTGCTTTTT